TCCAGATCCGGGTAGCGGACACGAAAACCTCCGAGCATACGCTCGGGCAACTCGTCCTGACCATGAATAACATGACCATAGCCGTGCATTCTATGTTACAGCCTAGAATTTTCGTCGCTCAATATTCTCAGTCGAATCGTTGGTGAAAATTATAGAGAATTTCTTATTTCATTTTTATCACTATTATCAATAGATCAATTTCATTGGAGTTTCACCCGTTTTAAGTGAAGTGGCGCAATACCCTATGAAAAAGGCGATATTCGCGCTATGCAGTAGTCGTGAAATGTATCACCCACTAGTGTTTTTCCTATCACTAGGGTGAAACTCCATTACTATAAATATACCAACATGAAATGACTATTATAAATATAGCTCGGTGAGCAGCATTTCAATTCTCGCAGCAGTGCAACGCCTACTACTATGTTCGATACCAAATCGGGTACGCGCTAAGAAAATAACACAACTTACATCTGTTTGCCCTTCAATCACAAATCCAATATCAATGACCAACTTTTTAGCCGTGTCAGTTACCTAACACCAACTTCAACATCAACAACAACAATCATCACACTTCTTCCTCACCAGAGATACTATATGGCGGGCTAACGAGCTGGAATAAACATCAATAGATGCCTCCATATAACGATAGCCGTTATAATACTCAGTATCGATCTTGGTGCCGATTATCGCGGGAGTCTCACCAATAGCCTGCAGAGGTAAAAACAACAACATTCCCTGATGAAAATCTGCCAACATTGCGGAATAAATTCCCCAACGATTTGACTCCAAACTCGCTGAGCGCGATAATGGAAAACGACGGTTTTGCTATTTGGTGGTATTGCTAACACTCCATATAAAAGACGCGATATCGAGCGAATTGAAAACGCTTTGCGAACTGCATAGAACAAATCACCCCATTTTACGTATTCTGCAATATCAACGGTGAAATCTATTCCTCACTAGTGTTTTTAATATCACAAATGAAACTCCAATGATTCCAGCATGCATTTTCCAACCAGAACTGCATCGCCCCGACTTACGCGTTTGACGATCCACGGACCATCGACTACTCTTGGTATCACTTTCAAACGCTTGTTACGCTCATTCGTATCCATTGCGATAAATCGGTGAAAGAGCCGCGCGAAGGGCTGAAGACCAAAACATACAGT